GGGGGTCGATTTATCGGGTCTAGTGAAGACCTGCTAAATCGATGGCAGAGCACTCTCCGGTCGACCCCAGTACTCCACCGGGAATGAGAGTAGGGTGACCAGATGTCCCGATTTTATAGGGACAGTCCCGATATTTGGGCCTTTTTCTTATATAGGCTCCTATTATCCCCCACCCCGTGTCCTGATTTTTCACACTTTCTATCTGGTCACCCTAAATGAGAGGAGTAAAGCAAGTTGACAGGAGAGTGTCTCCCGTCGACCCAGCGCGGTGTAGACACTGCAGTAAGACGACCTAAGCTACATCGACTTCAGCTACATTATTCACGTAGCTGTAGTCGCGTAACTTAGGTCGACTTACTGTGGTAGTGTAGATATAGCCTGACTTTGGGACTTCTAGCACTAAGTGATGAGCATCTAGCACTCGAGCTGAAGAAATAGCTCCTTTAGCTGGTAGCTACAGGAGATTCAGATCCCCTGTGGCCCAGCCACTGCAGTGGGATGCATGACAAACTCTGAACAGTGGGTTTCGCCGAGCATTTTAAAAATCGTAATAATCTCTTAATAATTCATGCTTCACGAGCAAATATACTGTAGGTTAAGATAGTGGTCATGCTGGTGGGTTCAAAACATTCTCCATTACAACCCTGCCTTCTTTAGTTTTCATACTTTCTGAAATGTCCACATCAATGGGCAGAGGTAAGGGCTCAATTCTGCATCCATTACTCATGTGAGTCAACCTTACTCCTGTGAGTAGTGCTGGTGAAGTCAGTGGGACTATTCCTATGAGGAAAGGTTTGAATATTAAAGCGTCAGTTCAGCAAAGCGCTTAGGCACATGCTTAACATTAAGCACATACTTAAGTCCCATCAACACCTACCATGTGCGCAAGTGCTTTGCTAAATCAGGGCCTTAATTTCCTATTGAACTTTTCTAAATTCACCCATCATCGTGAAATCGGGGCACAAACATAGCTCTCATAGTTACTGACTTCTGAAGCCCCGACTCAGCAAAGTATTTAAACCCACGCTGAAATCGGCAAAGCTCTTAAAACACAAGCTTCGGTACTTTGCTGAGAAAGGATACTTTGCTGAAGCAATGTCTTAACTCTTAATGTGCTTAACGCTACAACTTCAGTGTTTCAATAACAGAGTCTTTTGTTTTAATTTTGCAAAAGTAAGGCATCCTTAACGATATCAGACCTTAGTCTGAGAATGTCTCTGCTACTAAATATTTGCTAAGAAGTCGAGTGAGACAGTCATTAAAAAACAAAAAAGCAAAGCCCAGGTTCTCAGAATAGTGATGTGATAACCAGTGAATTCCTACTGAAATTCTAAGCAAAATAAATTGAATAAAAACTGTACAGGATCTCTAGTCACTGAAGCAAAACTTGCATATAGTTCAATTATGTCGTTTAAATATGGCCAAATTCTGCTCTCAGTTTCACCAATGTTGTAATTCCACAACCTTTGATGGATTTACTCCAGATTTTCACATTTGTAACTGGTTTCTTCTCCGATCATATTGCATCGAACTGACAGGAGAATTTCGCCTTCGACCCTGGTCCTGAAATCCTGGTGCTTTTCTGTTCAGTTCTGACTAGACGGAACTAATGCATGAAATGTTGTTTGGCTTCTTCAATATTATAACAATAACCCTTTAATAATTATACTGCTCCATATAAAAACTCCTAAAACACAAGTCTAATAAAAAATAAAATGAAGAGGATGATGATGGAAAGGAAGGAAACATTAATTTATTTTTTCCACTGAGTTTGGCAGAGTGTAAAGTCTATTTTTTTTTTTTGACCGACTGCTTTCAGTGCAACTTCTTTGGAACAAATCATTAAGCCAAAAATGTCCTCTTGTAACATGTTTGTCATGTCATGGTCACGTCACAGCAACTGGGCCTTTTTTTTTCCGCTGGGATTCATGCCAAGTGCTAAGCCAAAAAACCTTGTTATATTAATTATGAATAAAAACATGTTTTATTAAAAACTAGCCTGCTGAATATTCTGTCGTGCTGCTTTTCGGTGACAGCAGAATTGCTTTTGCATTTTAGCAACGTTAATAAAATTTTGGAGGGTGAGGGGTAATATATATATACTCCATTTTCCTCAGCGATATTTACAGGAAAGTCAGATTAAAACCATCAAAGCTAATTAATTGATCTAACATTTACAGTTAGTCAGGAAAATCTGTACATGATTTAGTACAGGATCCAACCTTCTGCAATGGGTGTGAATTAAAGCATCATCATCATTCTGGACTTGTTTAGATTTGATTGGGTTCCCACAAAATCTGTAAAACTGACACTGAAGCACCCTAGTATTGATGCCGCCAGTAAGTTGTCAAATGCATCATTGGATCAACTGTGTGGTATGCGTTGTTGCCTGTGGATGGATAGCCCTAACAATACACTATTTAAATAAAACTCTGTTGTGTAGTGAAAATCACTGATCACGTATTCACCAGCCAGTTCAAAAAGATCCATAAGCCATTAAAAAACCCTCTCTCTCTTTCTTCCAAAGGACTGAATTTAAGCACATCAACGTCTAGAATTTCAGAATGAATTTCAGTAAACATGAAATCTCATCAACTGGAATCTTCATTAAAGAATAAGTAAAAAAAACAACCACCTCTTTTGTGAGAAAATCTGCATGCTGAAATGTTTGTTTTTAAAAGTGATTTTTAACTTCTCTTGGGTTACAAGCCAATCTTTTATTTTTCTTTAGTGATGGGATGAACAGATCTGGAAAAGTATCTCTCTCTAGCTCTGATAAGACTAGGGTTTGGGGGTTCTCTAGTTGTGTTGAATGTTTTGCTGTTAACCTTGTCCCCCTACAATCAGAAATGTGAATATTTGGGGGGGGGTCTTTTGATGCGGAGGAGCTGCTGTTTGGCATCTCTGGTTATCTGGCAGGCAGATCACATGCTTAGCACCACTTTCTCATGCCCTTACTCACAGGGAATAGCCCCTTACTCTACTAAATCAACGCAAGCACTCACCTGGCTAAGCGAATTTCATCCTCTTTGAATAAGTCTGCAAAATTAACAAACCCGAGAACACGACTGACCCTTTTAGGTGAGTATCGACTCCTTTCTGCATCAATGGTCATTGGAAAAAACACATATGGACCTAACTGCAATACTGTACTACAGAGAGACGAATTCCTTCAGGAGCTCCATTAAACATGAAGACTGAGAGCCCTTATTTTTATCACAGCAACTGCAATTCTGGTTCAGATTCTGACTTATTAAGGGCCTAATATGCTCTCACTGTCGTTAGGGGGAATATTTCCATTGACTTTAATAGAAGTAAGCAAAAGGTCCAACATCTTATATAGTTAAAAAAAAAACTTGTTAAAAATCTTTGCTTCAATAAATCCAGTGGCAGGTTGTTCCACAGGTTAACAAGATGTAACATGTATTTCCTTTTATTGGCTATAAACATATTGTTTCCCTTTCTTGCATTGTGGGACTGTGGAAAAAGAAACACCCTACTGGCTTTGTCGGTACTTGCCTCCTCACACAAATTGGCCAAATAGTACCTTTTAATTTAGCCTCTTTTGGAAGCCATCTCCACCTAGCAACAACTGGGATGTGTTAGTATTTGTATGGAAACATTAGCAGAGCTGTAAGCTTCACACTGTCCAGAGCCACTGTACTAACTTCACATTTAATAACACGAACGTTCACCAGAATTAGACTAAACAAACTCCAACATTTTGTTTCACACACATGCACGCACCACCCCATCCAGGCAACCCGTCTGTTTAAGGTCTCCTCCAAAAATTTTAGAAAACCCATTTGAACCATGAAGCTTTCTAGCTCTAAGAACCACATGCCACATTCTGCGTTTTGAGACTCTCAGGTCTTCTGAGCAAGGTACAATTAAATGTCTGGCACTGTTCACGTATTGCACAGCTCCATGTATACCTTGACACTATATGGATAATAAATAATACAGGAGGAATCAAAACTAGATCATTTGGGTCCAGTTGTCAAGGATAATTGGGAACTAGGGATAGTTTAAAAAGCTGACTCTGAAAGTGTGTTGATTAGGAGACTTATTAATACATTTGTTTTCTCCTAGCTATAGGGAAACCAGTTCTATGTATTAGGGACAGAAGAATATTCTACAAGAGCTAGATGGGTAGAAGGGGGTGCACTATGTTAATATCATCATTTATTATTTTCATAGCAGTAGTGCCTAGCAGCCGCAGTCATGGACCTCATGGTGCTAGGCACTGTACAAACAGAGAACAAAGACAGTCCCTACGTCAAAGATTTGACAATTTAAGTATAAGACAACAGTCAACAGATGGATCCAGACAGGCAGGGGAGTACAAGGAAACAATGAGACAATATTGGTCAGTATAATAGGTAGTGGTTTCAGCACACCAGCTGCCTGACCATTGTCAAATAAATACTGTGTGTTTTACAGAGGTAAGTGCAGATCCTTAATAGAGCTCTATTGATTTATACTAACAGAGGATCTGGCCCACAGTACTTACTTTTTCACTAGACTCTGTGTTCCCCATCTGCCTCTTTATACTCTCTCTCTCTCTGCTTGTTTTATTCTGCTCTATCTTTCAACCTATTTTTACATTGGATTTTCCTTCTCTGTCCCGTTTGGGGGTCCCTTCCCCCAAGGGGCTCTCTGAGGTGGAATGCCTATTCTATAATGCTCAGGTTTCCACCTTTTAGGCCCATGACATTCCAGTGGATCTGAATCTAGGCTAAATCAGTACTTCCAATCTCTGAGACAGTACTTAATTAGTGCCAGGGCTGTGCACCAGCACTTCTGGGCTTGGCAGTTCATACCCCCAGCACCTCTGGGTTTGCTGCATCCGTTATGAATGTAAAAAAATTGCTTCAGCCCCGGCACCTCTTTCTTTACAAATTAAGCACTGCTGTGAGATATAGCTTAGTTTTGTAATTGCTAGGTAAAGGTTCTGCAAAGAACTGCACAAGCAGTAACTACCTTAAAAGGATACTTACACAGAAAGGTGCATTCCCCAGCAATAGGATCAGAGGAAGAACCCAAAGGGACACAGCGCCATTGACCATCCTCACAAACTAAATTTTCCTACAAATAATCTTGCATTTGTTGACTATGTTTTTTTCTGCAAAGTCAAACTACAATGGCTAGAGAGCAAGTTCATGCAATGCAAATGATTAACTACGCCTCAAATATTGTTTAATGTTTAGTCAACAGACTATCCTGATCAAATATGTGCTACCGGTGAATCCATTCCAGTACATTCTTGTCTTGATCATTGGGGAACATGTCAAAATTACATGTTTAACAACCTAGTGCGTAATAAATAGAAGTAGTATGTATTTATTATTATCAACATTATTGTCAACTGTAGACATTCAAAGATATGAGTCAGAGACAATCCCACAGCAAAAAACCCCATGAGATTTGGCTTAAAAATCATGAGATTTTTAAAAATAATAAATGTTGGGCTCTTTTTTATTGGCTTCTGGGTTTTGACTCTTTAGGGGCTATGTTTTCAAGCTTTCCCCAACAACCAGGAGAGCTAGGAATTTACTTCTTTTTAAAATGAAAGCAGAGAATCTCATGTAATAACATGACTCCAGGAGCAGGAGCTTTAAGAGAAATACCAAATGTCATGAGATTCATAAAAACAGAAGAGGAGTTGGCAACTGTTGGCAACTCCTTGGCCCTACCAAGATTAGGGGTTCCAATGTGCAAGGCATTGTAAAGACACATAAGACCCTGACCCCAAATGCTTGGAGTCTAAGGGTATGTCTATACTACCCGCCGGATCGGCGGGCAGCGATTGATCCAGCGGGGGTCGGTTTATCATGTCTAGTGTAGACGCGATAAATCGACCCCCGAGCGCTCTCCCGTTGACTCCTGTACTCCACCGCCACGAGAGGCGCAGGCGGAGTCGACGGGGGAGCAGCAGCAGTCGACTCACCGCAGTGAAGACACCACAGTGAATAGATATAAGTACGTCGACTTCAGCTACATTATTCACGTAGCTGAAGTTGTGTAACTTAGATCGATCCCCTTCCTCCTCCCCCTCCTCCCCCCAGTGTAGACCAGGCCTAAGTAAAAAGACAGAAAAGAGTGGGGGAAGGGAAGTATTATTGTATAGAGAGATTAAGGGACCTGCCCAAGATCATTCAGGGAGTCCTATTAATACATTTCATGTATGTTCGTGAAGGACTCAGATAGTGTAGTGATGAGTGCCATAGAAGCCCATGATGAAATGAATAATTCTGTCTTCAGAGCAGGATGTGAATAATGGGCAGTAAATAAAACACGAGACCATGAGGAGAAAAGAAAATATTGAAAAACTGCTCATTAAATGAGCACAGTCCATCCTGTGCACTGAATGAGGCAGCCATCCTGTGGGAAAAAAATAGTATGTGATCATGTAATTAAAGACTGTATCATTATGCAAACACACAAGAGGGCTGAATTAAGGTTGCACACGTGACTTTAATTGTGGCATTTCTTAACTTTTGAGGGCTTGACTTCGCAAGCTGTATGTTTAAGGAATTTTTGGAGTATGTAATATACGATTTAGATGAAGTATATTTTATATTGGTGTTATATATAATTTACACACCCACCCACCATAATAGAGGTGTTCGTATGTTGGTGGTCACACACAGAAGTTAAAGAGAACAATTCAAGATTCTTTAACTAGTTAGGAAGACAGCAAGATAAAAGGAATTAGATAATGCCCAGCTTTAGCTAATGTGTCCTTGAATAAGCTGATTTGCCCTGAATTTTAATAGACCCCTGATTCATCAAATCTCAAACAGAATTAAGGTATGGACTGGATCCTAATAACATCATGCTTTATATCCATGAAAGATAAATTAAAGGATGCAAAACTGCTATTGACAAACATTGATTATATGTACTTTGAAGTTGTGCCAGATGCATCTTGTCAGCCTCCAAAGTTTTCTTTTAAATCTCATTGCGTAAGGCTTTTACTTTTTAATTATTTTTTTCTCCACAGCCTCTTTGATCAACAAAAATGTAGATCATATTTGGGTGATGCTACTTCCTATGCATTTTATTTAGATGTGCCCTTGTGCATAGCACGAGCTACATGAAAAGGTTGTGTGCTGCATTGTCATCTCAACGTATTATCCTGGATGCTGTTTAACACTTCAATGAGCTGCTCGTGCTTTTGGGTGAACTTCACTCCTGTGCTGAAGGCCAGCACTTAAATCTTGCATGAGTCTTCAATAACAAACTTAATTTATAGAACTTCTGTTGACGCTTTGCCCAGGGTACAACTTTGCCTTCTGTGAATACTCCACCACCCAGTTTTATACTTGTCAATGAATCCATGGCAAGGGTGCCCACCTGTCACATTTTGCTCTGCTGAAAGAGAAGCTTGGTAGCATCTTCTGCTAATGGGAGAAGATGGACTATGGTTTTGACAAATGAGGGAACTTTAATAACCTTAAGAGAAAGTTTAGACTGGGTAAAAATAATGAGGCCTGGGTAACCAAGCTTAGCTCTATATGGAAACTCATTGGGCTGAAAAATGAAAACCTCACCCCCTACCCGCCAGGCATGGTCATTGCTACAAGGCATTCGAAGGAGCATCAAACATGTTGCACTGCTCCTCCTCGGTGCAAGGTTTTCGGCCAGCAGCTCTGTTTTGTGAATGGAACCACTCTCCCACCCCCTCCAATGCACCTTGCTCATCCCAGTGCATTGAACAGACATGGAGCTCTGCTGTGCTGTGCTATAGACTGGAAGATATAGTGTTCCTAGACAAGGTTTCTGAAACTTGTTCCCACCACACACAGTATGATGGTGTGCAATTCTGCTATATTCAAGCCCTTCTATTAGCACATTGAAACCTGGTAAATCCTTTCCAGTAGCTCTGAGGCCTCATCCCATCTGCTACATTTACGACTGCAGCGTTACCAACATAATCATCTGCACCTGCAAACCTCAAGCATTTGTGCATGCAAGTCATCAGACTACTCCCAAAAGCCGTTTACTCACACAAATGACCTTTTGGAAATGTGCGAGATGGTGGAAAGCCCAAAGTCCTAATGCATGAGGGGTTAACCCAGACCTATCCATGACACATGGGTGATCAGGACTGGAATATAAACGTGGAGGGGAAATGGCTGTGGTGGTGCCTATCTGGGGGGAGGAAAGGGTTGTCCTTTCCCCTCCCAGTTAGCAAGATCTCTGGCAATTGGAACGCACTGCTTTTTGTGACGAAGCCTTAAGGAAAGGGGTTGAAACTGTTGCTGGTGAAAGTGTTACTCATCTTCATTATACTTCTTCCATCGCTGGTGGTTCTGCCCACTGGGCTATAGGCTCCAGTACAGAAGAAACCACACTGCAGTAGGTGATTTATTTCTCTATTGTAGGTATGTACACAGGGCCCAGCAGTGTAATATCTGAATGCCTCCCAAGAGTTAAAATATTTGGGGAGGAAATGTTTTCAGTCTAAAAGAAAAATCACATGACATTGAGGAGATGTGATGGGTATGTCAGACTGCACACAAAGATCCGATATTGCATTTATTGATCAATCAAGTCACTTGCAGCAAAGTTCACCACTGTGCAAGGCATCAGCACAAGGCCGATGTGCTACTGAAGCCCTATTTTGTGGGTTTCAGCGGGACATAAGCCTCATGCTGGCCTTTTAGAATCATAGAATATCAGGGTTGGAAGGGACCTCAGGAGATCATCTAGTCCAACTCTCTGCTCAAAGCAGGACCAATCCCCAGACAGATTTTTGCCCCAGCTCCCTAAATGGCCCCTTCAAGTATTGAACTCAGAACCTTGGGTTTAGCAGGCCAATGCTCAAACCACTGGATGAATCTCCTCCATGGTTAGTTGGGGATAGTTTATCTAAAGAGCTGAGGTTTTTAGAACAATTAATATGAAGATACATTTAAAAGGGAACTAACAGCCTGCTTGTAGTTGAGGATAGTTTATTTGGAACCAGCATGACACTCACAGATCATCAGCCTGATTACTTTGCACGTGTGAGTGACCTGGCTTTGGATGTGTCTCGTTAGGTCTTGGTCTCACAGATCCTTTTTTGCCAGTGTGGAGTCCCACTGAAGCAAGTTGGCACAAGGGTCTGCACAAGCACATCCCAACATAGCATAAATAGCACATGCAGGGCTACATTATTTTGTTGATGCCACTGGAGTACTGGACTCGGATCTTCACTCTTTTAAAAACATTAATGACTTGACATTTGGGTTTTGAGTAGGTGGGAGGATTCAATAATAAAACGGAAGAAACAGCTTCCAAGTTGACCTTGAGGCGTCAGGCTATGCCCAGCACTGCATGAGAGTTGAGAGAGAGCAATAGGACAGCAAAAATTCTGGGCCACACCAAGGTCAAGACTAGAGGCAGGTCCCTACAAAACCGTCCCCCCCCCCCACAAAATTTTTTTCATTTTCACTTTTGAGTTTTCAGCTGACATGTTTTCATTTTGGTTGCCAAAAACCAAATTTTCGTTTTTTGGTTATAACCCCATTATTTTATTTTCATTTTTATGGGGTTGTTTTGGTCAAAATTAGCCATTTCCTAAAAAACCTTCTCTGTGGAAAATTTTCTAAGAGCCCTAGACAATACCAGTGAATCCTGAGTGACAGAGAACCCCTCCATGGTCAATGGTGATTCTTCATGCCAATGGGTAAAACAAACAAGCGTTAAAGGATATTGTGCCAAGTTTGACAAGATTTACATATATTAGCCCCAGTCCATGTTAAACATATTGTACATGGCCCATGCACAGACCTAATTATTAGCACCAAAAAGAAAAATCACCATGATAATAAATGAGGAAATAAAATTACTAGAGTAAAAATCTACTCCTGTAACACTTGACTTTTCAAAAACAAATAATTTCCTTATGAGCAACTTCATGCACATGGGACCAGATCCAACGCCTAATGACGCTCATGAGGTCTTTCCATGAGGCCCCACAAGCAGTCCTAGGGAGCACAGTGGGATTGCCAAAAAAGCATAGCAGTTTCCAGGATCAATGCCAATCTTTCCATTACTTTGGCACTTTCCACCATCACCAGCATGGCTTTTCTTCAATAACATAACAACGTAAAAAGCCCTGCAGATGGGCACGAT